GTCAAAATGCAGGCAAATGCAATCAAACAATCCTCGCAATTGATTGAAACAGCGTTTCATAGGATACACTGTAAAGCGTAGTGACTGTATTTCTGTGGATGGAATGCAGAAGCCAGTTTGCGCACAGCAGTGGGTTTAGCTTAGACCATGTGATTCCAAGTCCTGAGGTGGGTCTTGAACCCACAACCTTGTGACTCAGAGGGGCGCGAGAGAGAGAGAGAGAGAAAGAGCTACCACTGAGCCAGGCTGACACACTGATGTGGCAGAGCTAAGGGGCAGTGTCCTACATTGGCAGCCACCTGTGTGAAGGGTTTAGTACGCTAGCGAAGGAACCAGGGCTCACTTGTTCAGACCTGCAGCTCAAATACCTTTGAGACATGATGAGACTCTTCAACACGGGGACACTGAATGAGCAGGACCACACCTAAATGCTTTATCGAGCCTCTGTTTACCCAGCCATAGGTAGGAATCCGGTTGTTAGTCGATTGGTGGATCGCTTTCCGGGCATAATAATCCCTTGAAAAAAAAAAAAGTTGGTCACTCAATCCACGACTGTTTGTGGGACACTGCTGTACCCAATTAGCTGTACTCAATTCGCCCACAAAACCTACAGCCACCACACTTTACAGTATATTCTGTGAAATGCTTTGAGACACCTTGAAGACTTGATAAGGCTCAATATCAAATGCAAGGATTATTATTGTTATTATTATATCATCATTATTATTATATGGCACCCCCCCCCACTCTCTCTGGAAATTCTCTCCCTCAGCCCACTCAAGGACTATCATGTCAAGACCAATCTTTTTGACCGCGCTTTCGGTCATCTTCTCACCCCCACCGCTCAGCTCCCACTCCCAAAGCCTCTGTACAAATCAGTTGCCGTCCTCTAGATCGAGACGTTAAACTGAGGTCCCGCTTCCTGTTCAGGTAGACGTTAAAAATCCAATTAACGAAACAGTTCTGACGGAAGGTCATCGACTGGAAACATTAACTCATTTTCCCCTCTCCATAGATGCAGCCTGACCTGCTGCAATGTGTAGTGGCTGTTTGTAGGGGAGCGCGTCAACAAAGCAAAGGCTAAATACTGCAGATGCTGAAAATCTGAAACAAAAACAGAAGTCGCTGGGAACACTCTGTGATGCTATCCTGGGTGAGGGATGCAAGTTGTTGTTGTTGGAACTCCATTCCACAGTCCCTTCGCCTCACTCCCTCCCATGTCTTCTTCAAGGCCCATCTCAAGACCCTCCTCTTCAACCTTGCCTTCTGGCACCCTCTTAACCCCTACTGATCCCAACCACCAGCTCGGGTCCAAATCCCTGACTGTCCAGCGCTTGGGACGTCCTCCTGACGTGAAAGGCGGGCGCTGTGTAAATGTCATTAGATGTTGTTGTGTACAATACATGTCTATGATATATGGTGTGTGCTGCGTGTGTAGAGGCACATCTGTTGCTTACTCTCCAGCCAGTGGTTGCCTCCCCTGCTCCCAGCCACTCGCTGCTGCCTGCTCTTACACAGAACCAACCCACAAGACAAGCTGTGATTATGTCAGGCGTGTGGAATGCAGTGCAGCCAGATTAACCCACTCCCCAGCTCCCTCCCTGTTCCAACATGCGATCGGGGCCTCATTAAACCTCTGCCTTCACGCACAGGACCAGTGGTGAAGGTGTTGCCCACCTCGTTGGTCCACCAGCCACAAGATCCAACTGATTCAAAACTCCGCCACCCACATACTCACCCGTACCCCCATCACACCATTCCTCGCCGAGCTCCACCGGCTCCCAATTACCGAATGGATTGATTTCCAGATCGCATTCATATTTTCTCCCTCAATCCCTCCGCCTTAACCCCCCCCCCCGACCACTTTCAAATCCCACCTAAAGACCTTCCTTTTTGATTGTGCTTATGGTCATCTCTCTTCCCCCCCCCCCCCCCGACTCGTTGTCAGACTCTGCTACTGTCAAGCACTCCAGGACGCTGCCCTGCGTGAAGGGACTATATAAATGCAAGTTGTTGTTGTTGTAAAGAAACCGGAGCTCAACCAAAAGAGAGAAGGAAATTTCTCTCACCCAGTGCCCTGGCCACAATCATAGTAGGTAAAATTGGTCATTCACTTCATGGCTGTTTGTTAGGCGTTGCCTTGAGCAAATTGGCTGCATTAGTCAACAACATACCCAGTATTTCACTCCGCTTTACAGTAACTCCTATAAAGCACTTGTTTGGTAGGCACTGCATCAAATGCAAAGAATATTATTAGATGTATTATTATCAATATTATTATAAAGTGCTCTGAGACTTGCCAATGTATTAGCAAAGAATTATTTATTGAAGCCATTGTTATTGCAAAGAACACAGAGATTAGTGCTGAGAATTAGCAGACCTGTAGCGTGGTGGGTAGAGCACTCACCTGCGTTTGATTCCCAGGTGGGGCGAAACCTTAGGCAGGTTTCCTTACTTCACACGCCTCTGTTTACCGAGCAGTAAATAGGAACCTAGTTGTTAGTTGATTGGTAGATCGATTTTCCGACGGTAATAATCCCCTAAAAAAAATGTGGTCACTCAATCCATGACTATCTGTGGGTCACTGCTGTGCGCAATTGGCTGTCGTGTTTCGCCCACAAAATACAAAGTCAATTCGCTTACAATATATTCTGTGACACACTTTGAGACGTCTAAATGAGATGATCAAATTTAAAGATTATTATTTTTGAATTTCTTTGAAACAAACTGTTTTAAATTCAGATTCAGGGGACGAGACTTAAAAATGGAGACACCTTGTAAAGTCAATTGGCTTTACACTTTTAAGCGCTTTAAGACGTCTCGAAGACGTGATAAGGCGCTTTATCAAATGCAAGGATTATTATTATCCTGTGAAGCGCTTTGAGATGCCTGGACGATGCGATAAAGCACTATATCAAATGCAAGGATTATTGTTATTAAATCTGCTGCTTCTCGGACATAACTGTGTTTGACCTCCTGGCTTTGATTCAGAAAAGCTTCCCAATGAGGCTCCTCTTGGCTGGAGCTCAAAGCGTTGCCACTGGCTCCTGACTGCATTCCAGCAGTGCTTAGAAGGTCAGCAACACAGGAGAGGCCAGAGTTAGGGGGGTTAGAGAGAGCGAGAGAGAGAAAAACAGCACAGTCCATATTCACCTCGGTTTAAGGACAGAAGGATTTGCTGGCGAAGGAAGACCAAGGTGCATCCAGTTCACTTTCCTTCCACCATACTGTGGAAGTCGCTTGACATGTCGTGTCCCCAAACTATATACTGTATCCCCAGATATTATTTCCTAACAGAAATCTATCTCATTCGTTCTTGCAACAAATCACACTTTCTGCTTCCACCGTTTGTCTCCCTAAGGTTCACTACTCGCTCACTGAAGTAGCGTTTCCACAGATTTGTTGTGAATTTACCCCCTTCTCAATAGCAGGCCGAGACATCGGGTTTTATTGTTCAGCACAAGATAAAACAGCTTAGCATGATTTGCTCCAGCTGTCTGGAAATCAAGAGGTTTGTGGTTTGATCAATCAACAACAAAACAACAACTTGTAAATACACAGCGCCCTTCATGCCGGACGGCGTCTCAGAGCGCTTGACCAGTCAGTGGGGGTAGCAAGCAAGAAAGAGGGGGAAGTGTGGAGAAAAGGCAGGTGGTGGGGTGGGGGTACTGGTGGAGAACTCGGCTGAGATGAAGCAGAAAAGGTTCAGGTAATACCCAATATCAATGGTGACGGGGAGCCACCTGGTGGACATAGCTGGATAAGGGGACATCAACAAGTTGCATATAATAATAATAATAATCCTCGTGTTGTTGGACGTCTCAAAGCGCTTCACAGAATACGCTGTAAAGTGGATTGGCTGTATGTTTTGTAGACGAAACGTGACCACCAATTACGTACAGCAGTGCCCCACAAACAGCCGTGGATTATTACTCCCGGAAAGCGATCCGCCAATCGACTAACAACCGGGTTCCTACGCAGAGAGGCATGCGGAGTAAGGAAACTCGCTTGATTTTTCGCCTCGCCCGGGTCCTCTCTCTCTTGCGAGCTGGGGGGGGGGGGTTGGAATCGGAAGGGTTGGAGAGCAGGGGAGGGTGGCTGAAAGCACGATCAAAGAGGAAAGTCTCGAGACAGGCCTTGAAGGAGTCGGGGGGGTGGAGGGTTGGGGCGGTGGGGATGACGCGGAGGGACTGTGGGATAGAAGGTGAGAGCAGAAAGGCCTGGGTGGAGGGGACAGGGCAGGGGGACGCGAAGCGGAGGGAGCGGGCAGGCCGTAGAGATAGGGAGGAGCAGTGGACCGCGGTGCAGAAGACCGCGGTGCAGGGCTTCAAAGGTGAGGACGAGTATCTTGAACCCTATCCTCTGGGTTACGGGGAGCAGTGGAGCCGGGTGAGGGTGGGGCTGAGAGGGTCACGGAGCCCGACATCAGGAGAGCTGTGGAGGGAAGAGTTGGGAAGTCTACGTTCGCGTGAGACGATGCCAGACGCCAAAGTGGGAAGGGAAGGAGTTCAAGGCGGAGAGTTTTCAGGGGGACGTTACAGATGGTTTGAGAGAGAGAGAGAGAGAGGGCGGCGGCGGTGGCGGCGGAAAGATACATAGAGCGTCACAAGATCGGTTCAGACGGAGAAGGTCCCTTCGGTCCAAGTCCAGGACCTCCATCGCCGTCCCCGTCCCGGTCCCCCCGTCGCACCGTCAAGCTCCCAGTGTCCTGGCCTCACCCTCGCGGGGCCGAATGTCCTGCTCCGAAATCTTATGCAACGATTGTTATTATTATTATTATTGTTATTGTTGTTATTATTATTGTTATTATTATTATTATTTGGCGAATGTGCGGGAGCGGATCACAGAGAGAGAGAGAGAGCGATGTGGCGAATGTGCTGAGGGCGGAATCGCAGTCGGTGTTGCATCAGCCGCATGAGGCGGGCGGTGTGTGCGCTGTCAGTGCCGCTGTCCCTCCGCCTCAGCCTCAGCCTCAGCTTCAGCTCCCGCCCCCTCTGCCCCTCGCCCCCCACCCCCCGGCGCCCACACCCCGCCATGGAGCCCGACCAGGCCGCCGAGAGGGCGCTCGCCCCGCTCCGACAGGCCGTCAAACTGCAGGTAACTCACTGTCCCCCGCAACCCCTCACCCCTCACCCCCCCCCGCAACCCCTCACCCCCAACCCCTCCCTCCCCCGCCACCAACCCCTCACCCCAACCCCCCCCAACCCCTGAGCTTCACCCCAACCCTCCCCCGCAACCCCTCACCCCTCACCCCCAACCCCCCAACCCCTGAGCTTCACCCCCAACCCTCCCCGCAACCCCTCACCCCTCACCCCCAACCCCTCCCCCCAACCCCCACCCCTCCCCCACCCCTCCCCCGCCACCCCTCCCCCCCACCCCTCCTCCCGCGACCCCTCCCCCCCAACCCCTCCCCCCTCCCCCCACCCCTCCCCTCCTGAGCTTCACCCCCTGACCCTCACCCCCAACCCCCCCACCCCTGAGCTTCACCCCCTCCCCCACCCCTGACCCTGACCCTCACCCCCACCCCCTGACCCCACCCCTCACCCGCTATATAAAAATGTACTTTGGTATTAAATTGTATAGTCGTAAAGTTTGTGGTCTGTAAAGTGCTCTATATGAAGAACACTATATGTATGTATATGTATATATGTATTATATATAGTTGTTGTCGTTGTGACTGTGGTTTGTAGCCGAACGGCATGACATTTGTTTCCTTTCCTCGCCCCTTCCGCACAGTTCTCTGCCTTGTCCCCTCGTTTCCACTGATGCACACGGACATTTGTGCCGGTGTTACACTTGGTTTCTTTTAAATACTGATAAAACATTTCTCCTCTCCCCCCTCCACCGCCCACATCTTGTCAGCCCAGATGTGTGATCTGCTCTGACCTGTACCTGCGACTGCCACGAAGGTGGAAGGCGAACTGGAGGACCTTAGCCTTTTTCATATAGCATTTCTTACGTCCTTATGTATTTAGTTTGGCTTTCGTGACCAGAAGCTGCTGTTGCATTACTGACCTGTGGAGTACACTCTTAACCTCTTTCTGTTCCCCGTTTCCTTCCACAGGGAGAACTCGTTCGGAAACTGAAAGAAGAAAAATGCCCAAAGGTGGATATTGATAAGGCAGTAGCAGAGCTCAAAGCTCGTAAGAGGATCCTGGAGGCCAAGGTATTAGCTTGATTCAGTATTTACGTAACAAAATTGCTGGCGAAAGAATCGCCTTCCACCATCCTGGCAGTCACTTGTCATGTCGGGCCCCAAACTACATACTGTATCCCCAGATATTATTTTCTAGCAGAAATCTATCTAATTTGTTCTTGAAACAGACAACATTTTCTGCTTCTCACAATCCCAGCACTTCCCAAGGACTGCACCGGAATGTCAGCCTCCAACGTGAGTTTACTTTGTGAGTTCAAAATCCCGACGAGGAGCTTGAACCCACAACCTTCTGACTCTGAGGCGAGAGCGCTGTCCTGACTGGGACGGCTGACAGACGTTTTGATATGGCAAAATGCTGAATGAAATGCAACTTATCAAGGAAAAAAATTGAACAGTTATGTTCACCTCTTCCCCCTCCCTCTCTCTCTGATTCCTCCACTGTCAAGCGCTCCAGGACGCTGAAGGGTGCTGTATAAATGCAAGTTGTTGTTGCTGTGTTCAGTTCCTGATGGAATTCAATGTAATGTTTCATCCCCGTCCCCGGCAGGAATTATCGCTTCAGCCGCAGGATGACATTGTGGACAGAGCTAAAATGGAGGACACTTTGAAGAGGAGGTTCTTCTATGACCAGGCTTTCTCTATCTATGGAGGTAGGACATCAAGTTCCATTTCACGATCAACCTCAGTGAGCGGCTGAGGGCAACAACGACAACAAATGACACTGGTACAAATCAGGAGGACGTCCCAAGGCCCTGCACAATCAGGGATTTGGACCCGAGCTGGGGATTGGGATCAGGAGGGATGGAGGGCCGGGAGGGTTGGGGTAGGAGGGTGATCGAAGGCGCGATCGAAGAGGAAGATCTTGCTTGAGCCCGGCCCTGAATGAGGCAAGGGAGGGAGCAAGGCAAAAGGAATGTGAGATGGAGTTCCAAAGGATGGGGGAAGAGAAGTTGAAGGCCCGACAGCTGATGGTGGAGCGCATTGGACGGGGCACAAGGAGCAGGCGTCAAAGACGTGATGAGGCACTATATCTTGCAACTGCAAGAATTATTATTTTTATTATCTATCTGGCATAGTGTGTTCAGACGTGATGAGCTGAATGGCCTCCCCGTGTTTCCCCTCCAGGTGTAAGTGGCCTCTACGACTTTGGGCCTGTTGGCTGTGCTCTGAAGAACAACATGCTGCAGCTTTGGCGTCAGCACTTCATCCAGGAGGAGCAGATCCTCGAGATCGACTGCACCATGCTCACTCCCGAGGCCGTCCTCAAGTAAGTCTGGTTTCTGACACTGACACACGTGGAAACCTATCACCTTTGCTTAACAATCTCCAAACCAAACTGAGAATTCCATGCATCCCACTTACGTGGAAGTCCCAGAGAGAGACTGTTGGAATGGAATGCGCTCTCCCCCTCTCTCTCTCTCTCTCTCTCCTCTGAGGGACGCATCCTGCTTAACAAATTCCGGAATGTACTAGGCGCAGGTTGGCAAGAGTCAAGGCTTGGGGGGAGCCCAGCGTGTGCGTTGGGGTAACGGCTGGAGTCATTCGGCGGTGTTGGGTGTTAACAATGCAAGAGCTGCCTGTTTACTCCACTCCTGCTGCCTGCTTTGATCTTTACTCGCTTTGGGGAAGCCAGCGTAAGTGAGTACTATTTTGCCTTGCAGAACTGAGTCGTTTTAGGTGCAGCCTTATTTATCCTTGGCTTCTGAGGAGCTTGAGCACAACAACAAACTTGCACTTACATCGCGTCCTCCATGTCCTCCATGTCCTCCATGGAGGGTAGCATCTCAGAGCGCTTAAAACCTTGGGAATCACCATTTACCCAAGGCCGCCCCCTCTCTCTCTCTCTCTGTTGCAGAACATCCGGCCATGTTGATAAATTTGCCGATTACATGGTAAAGGACGGGAAGAATGGGGAGTGTTTCCGAGCTGACCACCTGCTGAAAGGTAGAGAGAGCACTGACCAGAGCCATTATAGCCCTCTCCTCCTCTTCCCCTCACCTCCACTCTCCCCCTACTTTGCTCACCTCCTGTCCCGCTGGGGTGCTGTAAAGGCACTTGGGGGTTCTGGAGAATATACTCAGCATGGAAGCCACAGGAGAAACTGCTGTAGTGGTACATTTGTTTAACTTCCTAAAGTCAATTGGAGTCCTGTAATTCAGTGGGTAGAGCACTGGCCTTGTAAGCAAAAAGACCTGGGTTCGATTCCCAGCAGGGCGAAATGTTGGGCACGTTTCCTTACTCCACACGCCTCTGTTTACTCAGCGTAAGTAGAAACCCGGGTGTTAGTTGATTGGCGGATCGATTTTCCGGGGATAAAAATCCCTTATAAAAATATTTAAATTTGGTCACTTAATCCACGACTTTGTGGGGACGCTGCTGTGTGCAATTGGCTGCCGTGTTTCACCCACAAAATATACAGTCAATTCACTTTACAGTCTATTCAGTGAAGCGCTTTGAGACGTCTCGGAGACATGATAGGACGCCATATCAAATGCAAGGATTATTATTAAGTGCAGTGCAGCTTCTGTTGCTTTTGAAACGAGTGAGATTGTGAACGAGCCGGGATTCTGACTAACTGGCCTCTGCTCTTACAGCTCACCTGGAGAAGCTGATGTCTGACAAGAAATGTTCTGCGGAGAAGAAAACAGAAATGGAAAATGTCATCGTACAGGTGAGGCGCACCATGAGTTCCTGGCGTTCGCCAGCAGGGTGGGCACTCCCTCCAGTGGATCCTGTGAAGCGCTTTATGAAGTCGTTCTGACATGACAAGGCACTGCGACAAATGAAGATCCTCTCACTTGTTTTCAAATCTCTCCGTGCCCTGGCACCTCCCTCCCTCTCCGACCTGCTTAAACCCTCTCCACCACCCACTGCCTCTGGTCGACTGGCTCCAGCCTCCTCCTCGTCCCTTGTACCCTCCGCTCCACCATCAGTGGCTGCACCTTCAGCCACTACACTCTGGAAGTCTCTCTCAATCCCTCCGCCTTTCCCCCCCTTCCCTCTCCAATTTGAAATCCCGTCTAAAGACCTTTTTGATTCTACTTATGGTCGGTCACTGCCCCTCTCCCTGGCTCGGGTCAGGCTTCGCTACGGTGAAGCACTCCGGGATGCTGCTCCTTGTGAGGGGGAATACGTTGTTATTGTTGATTTTTTTAAAAGAAATTAAAATTGTGATTTTATTTTTTGTTCTGTCAGATGGACAATTACAGCCAACAGGAGCTGGCAGAGCTGTTTATCACATACAGCGTCAAGTCCCCAGTCACCGGCAACGACCTGTCTGCTCCCATCTCCTTCAATCTCATGTTTCAGACTTCCATTGGACCTGGGGGCAACACGGCAGGGTGAGGCTATGTGAACGCTGTGTGTGTGTGTGTATGTGCGTGCGCGCGTGTGTATATACGTGTGTGAGTGGTGTGTGTGCGTGTCTCTGATCAGCTCTATCTGTGTCTTGTGTACGTGTCTCTGATTGCCTCAATCTATGTCTGTGGTGTGCGTATCTGCGCATATCTCTCTCTCCCTCTCTCTGATCACCTCTCTCTGTATGCCTGTGGTGTGCGCGACTCTGCGTGTATAGCTGATGTAAATACAGTCACCTCCATTCCTCCACCACCCTTCCCTCGGTGTCTGGCACCAGCTCTAAAGTCATTCAAGATATTACCCTAAGTTAAAGGTGCTGTATAAATTCAAGCTGTGTTTCAAATAATCGTTACTGCAGTACTACCACTAATTGCCCGACAGTGGCAGCAATGAGCTGTTATCAGAGGACAGATAACAATAATAATCCTTGCACTTGACATAGCGCCTTATCACATCTTCGAGATGTCTCAAAGCGCTTCACTGTGAAGTGAATTGACTGTATATTTTGTGGGCGACCTCCCACCCCCACCACCGAGCTTCCTACCCCTCCTGACCCCAACTCGCAGCTCGGATCCAAAACCCCCTGACTGTCCAGCACACCGGGACATCTTTCCGACGTGAGGGGCGCTGTACAAATGTGATTTGTTGTTGTTTGCAGCTATCTCAGACCAGAGACGGCCCAGGGAATCTTCCTCAACTTCAAAAGGCTGCTGGAGTTCAATCAGGGAAAACTTCCGTTCGGCGCTGCTCAAATAGGGAATTCCTTCCGGAATGAGATCTCACCACGGTCTGGCCTTATCCGAGTCAGGTAACGGGATTTCATACCTTAACCTTTTGGGATCTGACCTTGTTCTCTCTCTGATCGCCTCCAGGTCCTTTAATCCTCCCCTACTTTGGTTGTGTTCGAAGCCTCTAATGCCTACACCAGTCTTCAAATCCCTTCATACCCTGGCACCTCCCTACCCCACTACTTGCTGCCTCCGCTCGACTGGCCCCGGTCTCCTTCTTGTCCCCCGTCCCCTCCGCTCCACCATCTGTGGCCGTGCTTTCAGCCTCTACGCCCCGAAACTCTGGAATTCTCTTCCACAATCCCTGTGCTTTGCCCCCTCCTTCCCCAGCTTCAGGTCGCAGCTGAAGACCTCCCTCTTCGACCGCGCTTACGGTCACCTCCCCCCAGGTTGGTGTTGTGCTCCGCCACTGTCAAGCACTCTGGGACGCTGCCCTGCGTGAGGGGCGCGGTGTGAACGCAGGTTGTTGTTGTTGGCAGAGAGTTCACCATGGCGGAAATCGAGCACTTTGTGGACCCTAACGAGAAGGAGCATCCTCGCTTCCCCGCGGTGGCTGATCTGCAGCTGACCCTGTACTCCAGCGAGGCCCAGGTCAACGGGCAGTCGGCACAAAAAATGCGGCTCGGGGACGCGGTGAATGAGGTAAAGCGCTGGCCAGCGGCCGGGCAGGTTTGCGGGTAGAGAGCTGGGGGAGTTGGGTCAGAGGTGGGAGGTCAGTTATTGGGTGATGGGCTTGAGCCAGTTAAAGAAAGCAGGTTATGGCGTTCGTGGATGATCTGGATTGTGGGCAGTTTTGGACCTGATGGGAGTTCAACAAACTCTTCTCATTCATTTATAAAAATCTTAATGATAATAACCTTGTATTTGATATAGCGCCTTATCATGTCTTCATCTCAAAGCACTTCACAGAATACACTGTAAAGTCAATTGACTTTTGTGGGCGAGATGCACACGCACTAAAATCTAGTGTGAGGGTGGAGAGAGAGAGAGAGATCGATAAGAATAATAATCCGTGCATTTGATATAACTCCTTATCACGTTGCTGAGACATCTCATCTCAAAGCGCTTCACAGGATACACTGTAAAGTGAATTGACTTAACTTTAATTGACATGACAGAGAGAGAGAGAGAGAGAGACTAACAACCTGTCTGTGTTTCTGTTTCAGGGGCTCATCAACAACTCGGTGCTCGGCTACTTCATCGGCCGCATCTTCCTCTTCCTCACCAAGGTCGGCGTCTCGCCCAACAAGCTGCGTTTCCGCCAGCACATGGACAATGAGATGGCCCACTACGCCTGCGACTGCTGGGACGCTGAGTCCAAGACCTCTTATGTAAGCTCTAGCTTCTCGTCCTCATCTAAACAAAACGTTACATTTACACCTTTCACATTAGGCGGTAGTCCCGAGATGCTGGACAGTCGGGGATTTGGACCCGAGCTGGGGGTTGGGATCAGGAGGGGTGGAGGGCACGGAGGGTAGGGGTAGGAGGGTGGCCGAAGGCACGGCCTAAGAGGAGGTTCTTGAGATGGGCCTTAAAGGAGGCCAGGGAGGGGGCAAGGCAAAGGAAGAGTGGGATGGAGTTCCCAAGGGTGGGGGCAGAGAGGCTAAAGGCCCGACCACTCACCATACAGACAGTGTCTCGCTTGGGACCTGGAAACGCATAACACGGTCACTTCACAGAAGTGTTTGCGTAAGCGAATGCGGTAGCTAATTGCGCACAGCAGTGCGGTCATGTGTTGATTGACCAATTTTTTTAAAAAAAAGCATTATTTATGTGGAGGGATTATTATCCCCGGAAAAGCAATCCGCCAATCGACTAACAACTGAGTTCCTACTTACTGCTCGGTAAACAGGCGCGTGGAGTAAGGAAACTTTCCCAACTTTTCTCCCTGCCTGGAATTGAACCCAGGTCCTCTCGATTGCGAGATACAGGACTCCATTATCATTATTGATGGACACAAGCCATTGTTATGTTGCCTAACCTCCGATGTTACTATTTATGCTATTGTTCTGTGTGTGTGTGAATGTTTTTTCTGTGTCTCTCCCTTCTCCAGGGTTGGATTGAGATTGTGGGTTGTGCTGACCGGTCTTGCTATGACCTGACCTGCCACGCCAAGGCTACCAAGGTGGCCCTGGTCGCTGAGAAGCCTCTAAAGGAGCCCATATCCTTGGTTTGGTTGAAGCTTGTGGTCGTAGCTGATTCTTGCTTGTGAAGTGTGCCAGCGGCTCTCTCAAAATCCCAAAGAGATTTTACAAGCATACGAGGAGGCCATTCAGCGCTCATTGCTATTGCTCCTGCGCTCACTCTCTCTGAAGGAGCTGTTCGTTTTGTCCCACTTCCTGCTGTTTCCACACCCCCCCATATACACACACACACACACACTTTTAGATAACAACTTGCATTTTACACAGCGCCCTTCACTCGGGATAGTGTCTCAAAGAGTTTTAACTGTGGTGGAATTCGACTCAGAGCTGGGGGGTGGAGGTGGCGCATCGAAGGGATTGAGGCAGAGAGTTACAGGGTTTCAAGGCATAGCATCTGAAAACACGGACGCCGATGGTGGAACGGTGCGACTGGGCTCGAGGGAGAAGCAGGAGGCCGGAGCAATTCAATATAGGCTTGTGTATTGTAGGGAGGTGCCAGGGCATGAAGGGATTTTTAAACGAGTGTCAGGATCTTGAAATCGATCCACGCTGCAATCGGGAGCCAGTGGAGCCTGGCGAGGACTGCGAATTTGGTGCGGGTGAAAGAGTTTTGATTGAATAGTATTTTATCAATGGTGAAGCTGGGGAGACCGGTGAGGAGGGCGTCGGGATAATCGCGGTGAGAGCTTTGTGGGAGGAAGCAAGTCGAGTTGGACTTGGACGTTGTTTCCCTTGACTCACGTCGCACAGGACGGTCAGTGTGGTCCAGTTTGAGCCAAACAAAGGGGCCATCGGCAAGGAGTTCAAGAAAGAGGCCAAGGTGGTGATGGAGTATCTGAGCAACTGTGACGAGGCTTACATCACTGAGGCGGAGCTGCTGCTGTCTGAGAAAGGGTATGGACATCACCTAACAGCCAGTACAACAACAAGTACTTGTGTTTACTCAGCACCCTTCGCGTGAATAATTAATATAATTATCCTCGCATTTGATATAGTGCCCTGTCACATCGTCGAGACAACAACAACAACAACAACAAGATTCCATTTATAGAGCGCCTTTCACGTCAGGAGGACGTCCCAAGGCGCTGCACAGTTGGGTCATGACCCGAGCATTGGGGAGATGGTCAGGGTGAGGGGAGGGAAGGGAGGGAGCGAGGAGGGGGGAAATGGTCAGGGTGAGGGGAGGGAAGGGAGGGAGCGAGGAGGAGGAAGAGAGGCGAGAGGGGAGCTGAAGGCACGGTCAAAGAGAAAGGTTTTGAGACCGGCCTTGAAGGAGGAAAGGGAGGACGTCTCAAAGCGCTTCACAGAAATAGAAATAATTGTTTACTGTGAAGTGTAGTGACTGTATTTTGCAGCAGACAATTTGCTCACAGCAATGACCCACAAACGGCCACGGAAGCTCGTTTTATCTGGGGGTGGGGGGGGTGGGAATTGTCGGTCAGGACACTGAGAGAAACCGCCTTCTCTTTTGCAACAGTGCGGCGGGGTTTTTAACGTCCACCTGAACAGGCACCTGAGTTTGATGCCTCGTCCAAAGGGTAGCACCCGGCACCATCTTGGAAGCTGAATCTGATTCTCTCATCTCTTTCCCCAACAGGGAATTCCCAGTAGAGGCCGGAGGGAAAACCTTTGTCTTAACGAAGAATATGGTCGGAGTCAAAAGATCCCAAAAAACCTTACACGGTGAGTGTCTGTCTCCGGTTATGGTCTCGGACAGAGGGGTCAGGCCTTTTGGTTGCTGAGGGGCCGGATGCGGGATTAAAGGGGGCTACATCAGCAATATTTTATCCTGTTGCCGGGCGGAGCCTGAGCCCCCACCGGTGACCATCTCTTGATTGACTCGGGGGCCTACGTGTGTGTCGTCTGTATTTATCCATTGGACAATGAAATCGGTAATATTTTGTGGGCCAGATGTGGCCCGTGGGCCGCCAGTTGGACCACGCTGATCTAGGTTATGGTTGGTCCCTTTTTAAGCTCTAGCCCTAAACCCCCCACCCCCCACCCACATTTTCCATTTATCCCCCCACCCGTCTCCTAAAGGAGTGAACAACTAGCAGTTACCCCCCCATCCACACGCACCCACATTCACACGAGCGCGCACACATCCACAGCAGCGCTGACTGATACCCCTCTCTTGCTTTTCCGCTTCAGTCGAAGAAATCGTCCCAAGTGTGATCGAGCCGTCCTTTGGCATCGGGAGAATCATGTACACGGTCTTCGAGCATACATTTCGCATCCGGGAAGGAGATGAACAGAGGACAGTAAGTGTGCGCTGTCGTACATTGGTCCTCACTAACTGGGGACCCCTCCATTCCGTTTCCCCCCCCGCGTTCATTGGGCTGTTCAATCGCACAGTTACGGAGACGCAGAGACCTGTAGCTCAGTGGTTAGAGCGCTTGCCTTGCGGATGTGACTCCCAGGCAGGGCGAAACATTGGCCCTTACTTACTCCACATTTACCGAGTAAGTAGGAACCCGGTTGTTAGATAATCGATAACCCGATTGACAGATCACTTTCTGGGGGTAATAATCCCTTTAAAAAATATGTGTATATTTGGTCCCTCAATCCACGACTGTTTGTGGGGACGCTGCTGTGTGCAATTGGCTGCTGCGTTTCACCCACAAAATATACAGTCAATCCATTATACAGTGTATTCTGTGAAGCGCTTTGAGACGCCTCAAATTCGTGATAAGGCACTATATCAAATGAGAATATTATTATTATTGTTGGCATAACCGCAAGTCCCTCAAAGCGATGTGAATTGAATGACCAATTTATCTGAGGAATATCTGTCGCGGTCGATGCCGTCTGCTTGGCTCCTATGTCGCTCTGGGATGTTTCCTGTGTCCCAGCCTTGATCATTCCACTCGGGTTTACATCTCTTTCTTTCGACAGTATTTCAGCTTCCCGGCAACTGTGGCTCCATTTAAGTGTTCGGTGCTTCCACTAAGTCAGAACCAGGAGTTTGTACCGTTTGTGAGAGAGCTGTGTGAGTATTCATAACGTCGTATCTGTATGTCTGTCTGTATGTCTGTCTTTCTGCTTTTATTTGTTTAAGACTTTCTAGGGGAGGGGAGAGTGAGTTTCTTGTGAATCTATTTAATTACAGTGATAATGATAATAGTCGCCAATCGACAAACAAGCGGGTTCCTACATACTGCTGGATAAACAGAGATGTGTGGAGTAAGGAAACTTGCCTAAGGTTTTGCTCTGCCCAGGGAATCGACCCCGGATCCTCTCGCTTGCGAGGCGAGGGCTCTAACCAATATGCTGCAGGTCGGATGGCACCTCCAGTGTTGTGACTGCGATCGATTGACCGTGTATCTTGTGGGCGAAAGGCTTTTATTTTTCTCTGCTCTCTCCACAGCTGAGGCTCTGACCAGGAACGGGGTGTCCCACAAGGTGGATGACTCTTCGGGCTCCATCGGCAAGCGATACGCTCGCACCGACGAGGTGGGCGTGGCCTTTGGTATCACCATCGACTTTGACACGGTCAATAAAGTGCCTCACACTGCAACACTGAGGGACCGGGACTGCATGAGGCAGGTCCGAGCTGAGGTAGGTGCTCGCGGTTGCTCAGGGTGTCCTTACTTACCCTCCGAACCCCTACCATCCCGCCCTCCACCCCCTCCTGATCCCAACCACCAGCTCAGGTGCGGATCCCTGACTGTCCAGCGCCTTGGAACATCCTCCTGACGGGAAAGGCGCTGTGTAAATGTAATTTATTGTTGCAGATGAATCAACCGCCCCATCACTACGGGTTTAATATAAAAGTATAATAATCTTCGTGTTTGATATAATCCTGGCATTTGATATAGCGCCTCATTTTGGATTAGAGCCCTCTCAAAGCGCTTCACAGAATATACTGTAAAGTGTAGTGACTGCGTATTTTGTGGGCGAAACGCGGCAGCCAATTACGCATGACTACTGAATGAATTGAGCAGATGAAGCGCGGGTGGGACAGGATGGGATGGCTCAGTCCTTCTCCTTGTCTCGGCCACTCACAGGTGTCGGAGCTGCCCCAGCTGGTGAGGGACCTGGCCAACGGGACACGATCCTGGGCTGACATCGAGGCCGCCTACCCCCTGTTTGTGGCCCAGGAGACCGGCAAGAAGGAAATGATCGAGGAATGAGGGGCATGTGGCAGGCTGATTCATCTTACCCCCTCTCCCTCCTCTGTGTCACATCAACAAATACTCCTCCCCCCCCCCCCCAACCCATCGCAACCACATGCACAGATTCTGCATAGGAATTTGCTGGGGAAAGAAGACCAAGGTCCATCCAGTTCACCTTCCTTCCACCATCCTGGCAGTCGCTTGACATGTCGTGTTGCCCCCCCCCCACCACCACCGCCCTCCTCCCCCGCCCATCAGAATCTCCCTCTTCTCCCCCGAGCAGATTCGCTTCCCACCCCCACCCGCTCTCCCTGAGTATCACAAGCCTTTTGTCCGTTACCTTTCACCCTCCGGCGAATCCCCCGGAGAATCAGGAACTCTTGTCTCCTGTACAGACTGATCCCCACCCCCCACAAATCCACGTCTCTCTCTGCACTTTACCATATACTCCGTTTGATTCTCTCAAATAAAATCCAAATCCAAATCCCTGACTGTCCAGCGCCTCGGGACGTCCTCCCGACATGAAAGACGCTGCGTGAATGTAATATGTTGTCTCAAAGCGTATCATGGGGAATCGCTGTGTAGTGACTGTTTATTTGTAGAGACTGATTTTTTGCACGTACCCATAAATAGCCATAATGTGAACAACTGGTTTTATTTGGGGCATTGTTGGCTTGGACACGGGGCAAATCCCTTCGCTTCAGTCAGGGTCTTTAACGTCTACCTGAACAGGCACAGAGAGAACCTCGGGTCTAACGTCTTGTCTGAAGGACGACACCTCTTAATGCAGTGCTCTCCTCGTACTGCACTGGAGCATCTGCCTGGTTTGTGAGCTCAAAGGAAGTCTTTGGTCAGTCGGGTGTCTCGGGGAGAGGAGCAGGGAGATGGGAGAATGCTGACACCTGTCTCCTGTACATTCCTATATTGTACTGTATATCGCACAACCTCAACAAAGTGATAAATGACAGAAAACCTCTCCGTGTTCTGTTTTTTTCTGCGCTCTGTTTGTTTGTTAATTGCTTCTGTGCTTTCCTCAGAATCAAAGAATCTTACAGCACAGAAGGAGGCCATTCGGCCCATCGCTTCTGTACCCCAACTAGTCCCCACTTCCCCACTCTTACTCCACAGCCTTTCATATTCCTGTTCAAATATCTATACAATTCCCTTTTGAAAGTTATTATTGAATCTGCTTCAATCAGTGCATTCCAGACCGTTAAAAAAAAAGATAATTTCTCCTCGTCTCCCCTCCGGTTCTTTTGACGATTTATCTTCCGATGCGTTTGCTTAAAACAGCAATTATGCTTTTGGGAACTGGCAAGAGACAAAAAAAAAAGAGGGATTTTCAATCAAATCAAATCGAATCAGTGCTGGTGGTGACAGGGCAGTCAGCCTGGTTTGGTGAGGGGGAAGGTGACCAAACCTCCACTCAAGCGGTTTAGGAATACAGGAACAGGAGGAGGCCATTCAGCCCATCAAGCCTGTTTCACAGCGTTACTAGATATTGGCAGACCTTCTAATCCCCTTGCCCCTCCCTTTTGCAGTTCCCCGCAATACCCTTGACTACCTAAATATTTTTAAATATGGACACCATGTTTGATGATAATAATAATAATCCTTACCTTTGCCTTATCACGTGGTGGAGACGTCTCACAGCACTTCATCAGATATACTTAAAGTGGAGTGTATTTTGTGGGCGAAATGTAGCAGACCATTCGCGCACAGCGCTGTCCTGCAAACTCATTATCAATAAATTTTTTAATTATGAATAATTAAGTGTTAATAATTCTTATTATCAATAGGACTCTTTAGCAGTGCGCTGGGTTTCCGGGTGCAGCTGACTCAAAGAACACCCCAAACGGCTATACATCTGAATTAGTTTGCGGGACGCTGCTGTGCGCAAATGTCTGCCGCGTTGGGCAAAAGAGAAATATTAAATGGGAGGGGGACGGTGGTGGGGGGCGCGAGAGGGGGGAAATATAAAAACGTTAAGCAAAAAAAAGAAAGCAAAATGCAATGTTCTCTCAGGTCTCCGCTCGCTTCAGGTGTGCCTTTATTCCCATCTCTCTTTGATTTCCTTTTTCCTTGCCTTCCTCTCTTCGCTCCCCCCCCCCCCCCGCACAGTCACCGCTTTAAGCGTGTTTTAATTGTTCCCGTACACACCGAGGCATCTCTTTTGTCTCGGCCGCAAAGCTCCTAAGCAGAGGCTGAATGAGCGTGTCCTTGATAGCCGGAACTCGGGGAGCAAACCCTTTGTAAAGTTTCCAGCGCTTTCTCATTGTGCGCTCTCATTGTGCGGTTTCTTTTGTCGCTTGTACCTCGCCGTGCGCATTGCTCGAACCTCAGCTAACAAGAGGTTTGCTGCCTCCTAACCCCCCCAACCCCACACCACACATACACACACACGCGCACGCACGCACGCACACCACCATCATCACCATCAGCGAGTGACCGAGCCTTCGGTCACTGGGCAGTCCCATCGCGTAGTGAGTAGCCCTTTCGCCCCGCAAAGCGAGAGGGCGCAGATTCAGTTCCCAGACCAGGCGAAACCACAGGCACGCTTCCTCACTCTCCCCCCCCACCCGCCTCTGTTTACGTAGCAGTAAGTAGGAACCCGTTATGTTAAGTCGGATTAACCCTCCAAATAATAATAATAATTATAATAATTTGGTCGCTCGATCCACCCCTGTTTGAGGGGCCGCTCTCGCGAGCAATCTCGCCGCCCCGTTTCGCCCGCAAAATACACAGTCGACTGACTGTACATTATAGGCTGTGAAGGACTTTTAAGACGTCTCAATGTGACGAGGCGCACTAGCAAGTGGAAGGATTATTAAGGTTGGGCGCGGTGGCTCAGTCGGTTGCGCGCTTGCCTCGGTGTCAGAAGGCTTTGGGTTCAAACCCCCCCACATCAGGACTTTGAGCTCGCAGTCTAGACTGACTCTAGGCTGACTGGGGGGAGCACGAGCGTTGTCGAGGGGCCGTGCTTCGGACGAGACTTTAAGCAGGTCCCAGTTGGGCATTAAAGACCCTGTTCGAAAAGAGAAGGGGGTTTCTCCGTCCCCAGTGTCCTGGCCAACAACCCCCCCCCCCACCAATAATAATAGTCGCAAGGATTATTATTATTGATAACCCGCCAGACAGCAAACCTCCGTCTAATCTGCAGGGGCAGCAGCAGCCAGATTACACCACCGTCGTAACCTTACACCGTCTCAAAAGTGCTTCACAGCTGTCTGTAGTCAAGCGTAGTGACTGTGTATTTTGTGGGTCAATGTGGGACAAACAGAGGAAGGAGCTGGGTGCGGGTGGTGGGACGTGACCAAAAGTTTGGTCATAAAAAGAGGGTCTGAGATGGGATTTAAATAGGGTTGGAGGTGGTGGGGGGGTGTGGGGGGGGGCAACACATAGGGACTCTGGGTGGAGTTCCACAAAGCAGAGGCAGAGAAATGAATCCTTGCCTTTGCTGCACAGCGCCTTATCACGTCGTCGCGACGTCTCAAAGCGCTTCACAGAATCCACTGTAAAGCGTAGCGACTGTGTATTTTGTGGGCGAAACTGGAGGTTTCCGATGGCAGCCGAGGGTGAGGTAAAGCTTGGGGGGGGGGGGGGGAACGGTGGGGGCCGGGGGGAGAGGTGAGCACAGGAATAGGCCATTCAGCCCCTTGAGCCTGTTCCTCCCCGGCAGATCTGTAGCCCAACTCCATTTCCTGCCTTTGCTCCGTATCCCTGGACACCTCACCAGAGGTGTACCGGATCTCAAAGGTGTTTGAACAATGAAACTCCCAACGACAATTTAGAACGGATTTCCTGCGGGAAAATACCCGACGATGTGATGGGGAGACCTTCATCTGAACCGATAGGTTTCCTTCCTCCACGCACGCTGTCTGCCCAGCAGTAAGGGGGGAACCCAGTTGTTAGTCGATCGGCGGGATCGCTTTTCAAAGGGAATAATCCTTTCCGACAGAAAATTGGTCACTCAATCAGCGGCTGTTTACGGGACGCTGCTGCCCGTGTGCGGAATTGGCCTCCGCGTTCCGCCCTCAAGGTACCCAAATGTATCCCGCAAAGCGCTTGGAGACGTCTCTACAACGTGATCGGGGCGAATGCAAGGAATATTATTATTATTATTGTTGTTGTTGTTGCCGGCAATTAACCAAAGTTGCTTTTAACGCGGAGCGGGTTGTCAAGGGAGCCGGGGAGACTTTTGCAGAATTCCGACAGAAATCTCGGAAGCAAAACATCTTTTGTTATCCCACCACACCCCCCCCCCCCCCACCACCCCCACCTTAGCAACCGCGCAGGTTGGCTGGTTGCTGAGGCAACCGTTAGTCTAGCGGCTCGCCACCCGAGCGAGCACATAGCGTGGAGATGGCCACTCTTGTGCTGATAACAGCTTCAGTGGTTGGCCTTGACCTTCGCTGAGCAGGAGAGAGCTTTGTAATGGCTGAGCGGAGAACGTCTCATCATCGCTCGTGCACTTTACAATCTCCTCGCCTTGTTCTGTGGCCCCTTCCGCCCACGGGATTAACCCTATCCGAGCCCGCGTTCCTCGCCGGTTCGTCACCCTGGTTTTTTCGAAAGTGGCCGAATGGGATCGAGGAAGTCACCCCCGGAGCAGTCAGACCACAACAGCTCGTGTTTATACAGCACCCTGCACGCAGGGTAGAGTCCCGGAGCGCCAGGGGGAGAGGGAGGTGATCTTTAGGGGAATTGGAAAGACACGCAGTGGGAGCGGACAGACCGGAGGGTTATTATCAATAAACCGCTGGACGCAAGTGGCTGCCGCGTTTCACCCACAAAACATAGTCGGCTCACTTTGCAGTATATCCTGTGAAGCGCTTTGAGACGTCTCAACGATAGTGTAGATATCACTCCCAGATAAACGGTTCAGCCGTAAAAACCGAAGCGGAGACAGAAAGAGAGAGAGAGAGAGAGAACGGTTAATAAAACAGAAGATTACTTAGTAAACATAACGTCTAGCTTCATGAGACAACAACAAATTACGTTTGTATATAGTGCCTTTCATGTCAGGATGACGTCCCAAAGTGCTGGATCCGCACCGTTAATGCGCTTTACCGAATAGCCAGTAAAGTGTTCTGTGGGTGAAATGCGGCAGCCCAATTTTTTTTTGGGGGGGATTATTACCCCCGGAAAGCGATACGCCCATTGACTAACAACCGGGTTCCTACTGACTGCTGGTAAAC